GCAAGCGCAGTTATTGAAAAAGGAAATACATCGTCTAAACCTGACAAATGAACTTTTGGCGCAAAGGAGCGGGTTATCAAGCAACGGAATGAGAGCCAAAGATTACATTGAAGCCCGGTATTTATCAGCTTGTGAGTCTATGTGGAAAACGTTCGCATTCCACATACACAAGAGAAGCCAGCCGTTGAGATGATGATCATTCACTTAGAAGGTGAGCATAATATAAAAGTTAAAGAAACTGATAACCTCGGACGTGTTATTCGCAAGGTATTGAACCCTAGACAACTATAACATTTAAAGAAACTGATAACTAGGTCGGCTACCCCGTACCAACTCCGCGATATGTTTGTCACGTTCCTCACCAACTGCTTCGTAGTGAGCCCTAGACAACTATGGGAACACTCATGGAAATCGATGAGCGAGGACATAATTCACAAGAGGCACAGAATTTTAGGTCATTCAAATCTGGAACTCGATGATGAGACTCTTGAGCAATGCACGTTAATCGAAGTGGAAAAGTTGATGCGCATGCATGATCGCTCATTAAGTGATATTAAAGAGATGCCGAAGATCAAACCTGTTTTGCTAAAAGAGATGGGTAACAGTTTGTGGAACCAAGAAATTGATTACGATGTCACCAAGGAAACACTAAGACATGATATGCATTACAACCTGATTAACACTGAGCAACGTGCGATCTACAAATCAGTCTTAGACTCTATTGATAAAAAGGATGGGAAACTATTCTTTGTCTATGGCGCAGGTGGCATCGGCAAAACATTTCTATACCAGACTATTATATCTAGAATTCGGTCAAGGAAACAAATAGTTCTACCGGTGGCCTCCTCAGGAGTAGCCGCATTGTTACTACCTAACAGAAGAACAACACATTCGCGCTTCAATATTCCTTTAAAGCTCTCCGAGGATAAGCTCTGCAATATAAATTCAAGTACTATGCTGGCTGAGCTAATCGAGAAAACATATCTTATAATCTGGGGCGAAGCACCTATGACCCATAAGCATGGTTTTGAGGCGTTGGGCAAGACGTTGAAATATATAATGTCTAATAAAAATCCACTAATGAAATATCAAACGTTTGGCGGAAAGACAGTTCTATTAGGAGGTGATTTTAGGCAAATTCTACATGTAAGTCCACAAGGTAGTAGAGCTGATACATTATTGGTTTCAATAAGCCACTCATACCTATGGCATAGCTGCCACAAGTTCTCTTTAAGAACAAATATGAGAGTCAATCAGAACGAGAAGGAGTTCTCCAACTGGCTCCTTCAGGTCGGGGAAGGTACTTCGCAACCAGATTCGGAAAATGAGTATGAGGACTACAATGAACAGATGATAACTATTAATGATTCATTGGTTTGCCAGACCTATGATGATCCTTTGAAACAAGTTGTCGATACAGCATATGGAGAGGTCAACCAAGCCACGGCCTCACAGAGCTCCTACACTGAAAAGGCTATACTGACCCCCCGTAACGAGACCATCGATGAAATCAATGCTTGTACCATCTCCCAGACAGAAGGGATGGCACGAGATTACTACAGTTATGATAGGTTTGAGATTTCGGACACTCCATTAGATCAAGATGATACATTATAGTCGGTCGAGTATCTCAATTCATTAGAGTTTCCAGGTTTCCATCGCATAAGCTCACTCTAAAAGTTGGTGCCCCAGTTATGCTTTTGCAAAACATCAATCAAAGGAAAGGGTTATGCAATGGTACACGTATGATCCTAACTCACATAGGCGATCACGTGCTGAAGGCAAAGATTATCACCGGGTCACACATCAGAGAGGAAGTCTTGATCCCAAGGATTGTCCTTTTGCATGATGAAACCAAGCTACTTATATCTACCTAAACCGGTCTTCGCTCATGGTCAACTTTATGTGACACTTTCGCGTGTAACATGCAAAGCAGGATTAACGATAATTAAGGGCGAGGAATCCCACCAGCTAAAAGTGAAGAACATAGTTTACAAAGAAATATTCAACTTTCTTCCTCCTCAAAAAGGTATTTAAATTAAAGATTATCAATTCACTATCACTTTTAAAAAGGGTTCTCTAAAAATTTCATTCCACAGATTTACAAGGTATATCAATCAGGGGAATTACAATCACATAGAGATTGACTTACACATAGTCTATACGCAGCTATGCCAGGTACATATATTTTGTATATAAACTAAGGTATATACGTATCTGCTTACTTGAGTTAACTAACTTAATCTTTATTATTCTCAAGGTACCTTTCATACGATCAAGATCGCAAATATCTATGTTCTCTGTATGAAACACATTATCTGTTTCTTGCTTTATTTATGATCAGTTAAGCTACTATTTTTATTTTTAACAATTTTGTAACACTTACTAAACACCAAATTTACATATTTTTAAAAATACATTATTACAATTCCCAAAACATCATCGAAAACTATAATCCTAAACAAACATAATTAACCACTTATCTGCGCGTAGCGCGGAGAAACACACTAGTAGCTTATAAAAGTGTATAAATCCAACGACAGCACATAAATACTAAACCCTATATAGTAATCAATAAACACTAAACCAGATGAATATTAAAGTATTTTTATTTAATATATTTCTGAAAAGTGGTAATAAATTTTCAGTAAATTAAAGAAATTTCTTTTAAAAAAAGCTGTGTACATATGCAACCCTCTACCAAGATACTATGAACTCACATAGGATTTGGGCCAGTTCCTATTAGATTCGTGTCTAGAAAATTTAGATCCAAAGGTATTTAGAATTTTTTCGTTCGATTCCGGGTCAGTTTTTACCAGTCAGAATGGTTTCGAGTCTATAATTAAAATATCTGAGAAATACCTGTAATTTTTCTGTCCATATCGGTTCTGGATCGGGTTCTGGTAGTTACTATCTGAAAGACACAAAATATCCAAATTCTTTCAAATTTATCTGAAATATATTGTATTTATCTAAAATTTTACAAAATTAGTAAAATTAAACTACTAATAATTAAAAAAAAAATTAAATTCTAAATTTTATATTTAAAGCTTAATATTTCTTAAAAATGTTATGGAATAATAATAAAATTGTTAACAAAAAGACATTTCAATTAAATCATAAACTGTATATAGAAAATAAAACACAAAATATTCATATTTTAAGTCGGGTATGAATCGGATCTATTCGCATGAGCTCTTAATTGTTTGGATGAATTCGTAGCGGTTTTTTTGGGGGTCCAGATTTATTCGTATCGGTTCTTTTTGGTTCTGATTCTTTCGGATAAAATAATTTTGGACTCGACTAGAGAATTGTAATTTTTGGTTCGTTTTTGGATTTTTATTTTTGAATTGGTTCCCATTCGTGCGGATCTAGATAAAATACTCAGGCCTACTAAGATAAATTTCCAGAGACACTTCTATTTTGCAGAGGACTCTTAAACATTTTATCAGAAAAAATCAGGTTTCATGCCTTATTTGATCAAGTACAAAGGAAAAAAAATCAAATTTAAAAATTTTAATGGAAAATCAGGTTTTAAATGCCAAAACTAAAGGTATATGATTTATTTTTAAATTTAATTACATTAAACTACAAATAATGATGCTTTAAATGTAAATGATGTCTTCCCCCATTTAAGTTCAACAACCTGGGTTTATTAATTTCAAAATCTATATTTTTATTTTAGAAGCAAATTTGCTTAGTTTTAAATTTTCCATGATTTTAGGAAATTTTTTTATTTGTTATGTTTTTAATAATTTTATATATAATTTGTTTTTTTGGTCGTCATATATAATTTATTATATAGTAAAAATTATATTGGTTATTTTAAATTTTTAGAAAATAAGATAAATCTTATTTACTGTATTATTATCTTGAAAAATATATTTTTATATTGTAAAAAAAATAAAAAATGAAGATATAAAAATTATAGTTAAATATAAATCAAACAATGCTCATTTGTCAACTTTTCCATGATTTTAGGTAATTTTATTTATTTTTATGTTTTAATATATTCATATATAATAAAATGAGTTTATATTAATAATATTATTTTTATAAAATAAGATAATTTTTATGTATAAATTTTTATCTTGAAAATATATTGTCTGTTACAAAATTTAAGTGAATTTACTGATTTGTAACTTCTCTAAGATTTATGTAATTTTATTTATTTTCAATGTTTTGAATAAGGGAAAATCTCTCAAATAGATCTTTTTAAGCTTTTAACATAAAGATAGACCTGAAAAACTAAAATGACCAAAATAGCATTTTTTATTTTAAAAAATTTAATTTTTTTATTTTTAAAATTGAAAATCCTACCCTCAAAACTCTAGTCTTTAACTCTAAACAAAAAAAAAGTCTAAGATTATTTAACTCAAATGGTATAAGTGTATATTTACTTCTTTTTTATAAAATATTTAAATCTATTTTGGTGATTTTTATTTTTAAAATCTATATTTGTGACAAAAAAATTTGTAGGACTATACTAGAGAATTTCTCTTTTAATAATTTGATATATAATTTATTATATAACAATTAATTTTTGTTAATGATATTATATTGTTAGTTTGGAAATATTGTTTTAATATTATAGAGACAATATAAAATTTATAATTAAATATAAATCAGAAAAATATTTGTATAAATTTTGTTTTAAAAATATTATGCTATGTTTTATTGTCATTTATAGTTAATTTTAAAAACATAAATAAAAAATTAATATTTGAATAAATAGAAATAAACAAGATAAATATTGGTAAGAAAATGATGTGGGTGGAAGAAAACAGTATAGTGAATTATCTTTAGTGTAAATTACAAAGCTGCGATTGTCGGTGGGTGTTTGAGTCGGGTGAGTGAATCGAGGAAACAGAGTAAGTATAGTTGAAACTAAGGCAGAGAAGTGGGGTGGATCGGAACCGGAAGCAGCAATGTTTGGCCGATCTGCGGTTCACAGAGCGGGCGGTTTCCGTCCGGAGAACATAGGTCAGAACGCACTTAACCTAATCGGAAACGTAGGCTTCTCCCTCTTCGTCTTGGGCGTACTCGTCTTCACCATCATCGCCGCTACTTACGAGCCCGAAGACCCTCTCTTCCACCCTTCCGACAAGATCACCACTTTCCTCACATCCACTTCCAACGCCACCTTGAGATCCGACGACTCCGTCGTCAAAACCGGCGAAGATTTCATGCCCGTTAACCAAACCGCCTTCGCTGCGTTCATCAACATCACCGACGTGGAAGCCACGGCCAACGAGGTTGAAGGTAACCAAGTCGATTGCGATGCGAGCCTCCCCGTTGATTGCAAAGACTCTGACGTTTTCCATCTCATGATGAAAGCTACCATTGAGAGGTTTAAAGACATTCACTTTTACAAGTTTGGTAAGCCTGCCGTTGGTGAAGGTGTGGGTTCTTGTGATATGGCTTGGCGTTATAGGCCTAAGGATGGGAAGACCGCTGCGTTTTATAAGGACTATAGAAGGTTTGTTGTTGAAAAGTCTGACAATTGTACTCTTACTGTGGTGAGTATTGGAGAGTATCATTCTGGTTTGAATGCTAGGAAGAGGAAGAGGAATCAGAAAGCTGGGTTTGAGAAGAGTGATGGCAAGCGAGATGATTTCTCTTTGCCTGTGGTTGGTGAATCTGTCAATGATTCTCTTCCTATGGTTGAGTCTGACAAGGCCTTTCAAAGCGCCAACTACTTGGTTTATGTTGGTGGGGGTGATAGGTGTAAGAGCATGAACCACTTTCTTTGGAGTTTCTTGTGTGCCCTTGGTGAAGCTCAGTATTTGAACAGGACTTTCGTCATGGATCTGACCCTCTGTTTGTCTTCTCTCTACACTTCCTCTGCACAGAACGAGGAAGGGAAGGACTTTAGGTTTTACTTTGATTTCGAGCATTTGAAAGAAGCTGCTTCCGTCTTGGATGAAGCTCAGTTCTGGGCACAGTGGGGGAAGTTGCATAATAATAACAAGAATAATAAGTTGGGGCTTCATCTCGTGGACGACTTTAGGGTCACGCCCATGAAGCTTGCTCATGTCAAAGATACGTTGATCATGAGGAAGTTTGGGTCAGTAGAGCCTGATAACTACTGGTACAGAGTTTGCGAAGGAGATGCAGAATCTGTTGTAAAAAGACCTTGGCATCTGCTGTGGAAGTCAAGAAGGTTGATGGAGATCGTCTCTGCGATTGCGTCAAGGTTAAACTGGGATTACGATGCACTACACATCGAGAGAGGGGAGAAAGCAAGAAACACGGAGCTTTGGCCTAATCTTGATAAAGATACTTCTCCGAGTGCTCTCTTGTCGACCTTGCCGGACAAAGTAGAAGAAGGAAGGAACCTCTACATCGCAACAAATGAAGCGGACTTATCTTTCTTCAACCCTTTGAAAGACAAGTACGCTACTCATTTTCTCGACGAGTACAAAGATCTGTGGGACGAGAGCAGTGAGTGGTATTCAGAGACCACAAAGCTTAATGGAGGCAACCCGGTTGAGTTTGATGGTTACATGAGAGCATCTGTTGACACAGAAGTGTTCTTGAGAGGGAAGAAGCAGATTGAAACATTCAATGGCCTTACAAACGACTGCAAAGATGGAGTTGGGACATGCAACGTTGCAGCTACCTGATCTAATCGTTAGATTCCTCATTTTGTTTGTTGTTTGAACCATCTTGTTTCTAGTTTTGTCCTTGTAGACGAATAGCTTTGTGTTTCCCATAACTGTTGTTCCGTTTTGTTACTTTTAGACCAGTGTTGGACCTTTTGTCCCTTCTAGTTTGGTTCTATATCCTTATTATGCAAAATCTTACTGATACACAAAACTGATTCGGTACAACAAAGAATTCTATCAATTGAGACACCTAGCGACAATCTAAAACTGTTTCATCGTCTTTGTTTACCGCTGGTCTTATCCTTCTTCATCGGAAAAAGCGTGAGCTTCTTCTTGCCTGAGGAGTCAGCTTTCTTGAGTAATGATATGGCAACTTGATGCGGTCTTTCGTTTACAGTCTTCTCATCCATGAACGGTTTAACCTCAAAGGTTCCTCTTGTGAAATGTCTAGCAACCTACAAAAAGACATTTGTACCTCAGTTAATAATCAGAAACAACCTCTTCCATGCATAACTTCTGGCTGAAGGATTTTGAAACTTGCCTTTAAGAGAATCCATACTTTCAGGGCACTACTTAGGATTGCAAGCCGCGTCCTCTTCCCCGTAGTCAAGAAGCTGGACATATGACTGTCCACACGTAATATGAATCTTGGCCAAGACTTGGGGTTTTCCAGGTCTCCTCTTTTCTCCATCTTTGCCTGAAACATTTAGCTCGTCATGACATGGAACAAAACATCACCAAAGAGTGGTATAAATAGTTGTACAAATAACGGAAAAGTAAGTAGAACCGTAGGCAACAACTAAGATCAAAAGAATCTGAGATTGTGTTGTTAATGCACTTACCAGCTGCCGACAAATCTCTTGTTCAATTTTTGAAAAGGAAGTCTCCAGTGCCTCCACTCTACCAGTTGCGTGACAGCAAGAACACGGTTCACTGATCATGAATGTTACACTCGGACGAACCTATGAAAAAAAGTAGATTCACTGCAATAAGTATAAATCAAGGGCTAACATTCGTATTAGTATAGAGTCGACGCAACACCAAGATACTTGATTAGATGCTTTACAGGAAGAGTAATATATCCACAAGATGGGACTATACCCTTTTTCTTGTTATCTCCATGAGTCCGTGTCTAGACAGCTCTGATACTTTTACCAGTGACCTATCTCTCTCCACTGCTTTCTTCACCTCTTCATAAACGAGCCTCTTATTTGCTGAAACACACAAGACAAGAATATACAAGAGATACGGGGTTTTCCCATCTACTTCAAATTTTAGAAAATGTGATTACACAAATGACAATGATATTTTAACTCACATTCATCTTCCATGTCGATGAAATCTACCACAATGATACCCCCTATATCTCTCAGCCGAATCTCCCTTGCGATCTGATCATTATTGCATCGAGTATTACTTAATAAATCCTTTGCAAGATTAGCATATTGCAAAAATTGAGTAGACTCCAAGAAAAACTACACAAGACAAGTAAACCTCACAAAAGTTACTCATTCTCACTGTTAAAATTTTCCTAAGGCACACACTAAGCATCAGATCATACACCTCGAGTGGATGCATAGAATAATTACTAAGGCAGACTAGCCAAAATGTATCACATACTTGTCTGGCAGCAGTAAGGTTAACTTCCAAAATAGCTTTCTCCTGTGAATTACCCTGACCAAACATTCCATGTCCTCCGTTCACATCGATAGAGACCAACGCCTCAGTTTGTTCAATCACTAAAGAACCTCCATTGGGAAGTGGTACTCTGCAAGACGGAAAAGATCATTTACATGAAAATATTTTCGAAGGAAAAGGTGGGTGACATGGGCCATAAACTTCTTACCTTTTACTGAGAATACCTTCAATCTCCTCCTCAATGTTGTATAAATCAAAAAGAGGGATACCCTTATCATGCAATTCCACTCGATCACAAAGATCAGGTGCCATATCCTGCAGGTAGTTTGTGACCTGGAAACTAATACCAGTTAGTGAAATGGTTTGCATACAGTATCCACTCTCTTGGGTAAGCGGAGATATTTACTTAAGCATTTGAAACTAATATGGCTAAAGTTCAATCATCTGCAAGTGCAGGAGTTGGGCACATAAAGAAAAGAAATGACACGTGCAACTGGAGATATTTACTTATGCATATGAAAATAACATTAAAGGTGTGGTGTAAATCAACAAATGTATGATGGCTATAACACCATTGTGTACGAGAGGGAAAGATTTCTTTCAACACGCTATTCATTTCTTATTAAAGTCACTGGAGAAGAAAGGGGAAAACGTACCTCATGGTATGTCCTGGGAGAGTCAACCACCATCTTCTCAACCTAGATTAAATCAAGATAAAACTGTCACTTGACATGGCAACCATTAGAACCCACAGGAGAAGAAAAATATTGGCAATAGCCTAGCTACCTTGTCATTGAAGTAGTCCTGTACAACTGAAAGTGTTTGACCCATTGCTCTATGTAGCAGTGCTGGAATGGCTCCTTCCACACCTTCATCTGCAGCAAGGGATGCAGATTTTGCCTCTTCCGTAATGGTCTTCCAGGTCAAAAGCAGACCTTCTAAGTCTTTCTGCAATTCTTCTAGAGAATGGCCAGCAGCTACAGTCCTTACAGTCAGGCCAAAACCCTGAGGCTGCAATGTTTTTGCTATAACTTTTAACCGGGTTCTCTCAATTCCTGAAATCTTTTTTGAGACTCCAATTCTTTTGCAACGAGTCATTAATACCTATAAAGAAATATTTCACTCATAAAATAGAATAATTAGAAAGAAATGATAAGAGTTACAAGACAAAACACATGCCATACCCAGAATCTGCTTCTGAGTTTTGGGTACGCAGTGAGAGTTGGACCTTTTGAACCAAGGCCCTCTTTAACAACTTGCACAATTATCTTGGTGCCTTTTCGAACCTGAATCCACTTGTTATCCCTAGACGACATATTCTTAGGAGACTTTGCAACTGATGCATTTGAAACGAGAGAATCTGAAGAGTGTTCTCTCTCCAGAGGAACAAAGCCATTCTCAGCTACTTGATTGCATTTGTCACCACCTTCCACTCCGCCATGGTTAACGACAGTTCCATTAACTAAAGCATGGGAGACATGATCTTCATCATTTTCATGATCATCGTCATCATCATGAAAAGATTCCCCAGGGTCATTTGAATCAATGTCTAATAAACTACTGGCTTCAAAGTCATAGGAAGCGTGCTCGATTTCAAGCGGAGCTGGAATGTTAGTAATGGAGTCAAACTGAGAACCATCAGCTGCTTGCTTCTTTGATCCATCACAGAATGGAGGGAATATGAATGGTTCTCTGTTTGGCTTAATGTCCATGAAAGAATGTCTAGAACTTCCGATGTTCACAAATGCACCACCCATATGGGGCACAAACTTAGTGACTACGCCCAGGTAAACACTATCACACTGCACGTTGGTCTTAACTGGTTCCAACAATAACTCCACCAGCTTCTCACCATCCAATACAGCAATCCTTTGCACGGTACATATAGACGAGTTGATCAGTATCGTAGTAGAAATGGATCCTGGCTTGAAATCTTCATCATCAGGTAAAAGATTCTCAGTCAGGTGGTGATTTTCCTCATCAGTATCTAAGTTGTTTCCAATTTCTTCACTGCTTTCAACAACTTGTTGGCTATCAGTCTGCATATTCCTTGCATGTTGCAATGTAACAGATTCCTGAAGAAGCCATGGTTCCTCAATTGGCTGATAATTGTCAGAAAATAACGCACTGAAGTGTGAGTTCTCTGATGAAAAGGTTGCAAGCTCATCACAAAAGAAAGATTCATCTTCTAATTGTTTATCATTAAAAAGTGGTCTTGGGACTTGTACAGCACTATCGGAGAAAGTTGCTTCATCTGCCAAACCACTGAAAGCATTTAAGTTTTAAAATATTTTGCAAATGATGAAAAAAACAGTGAGCGAGGAGGAACCACAAAGATGTTACCTTCGCTTTGACCTGAAGTAAGAGAGTTTGGTAAAAGGCAAGCATCATCGATCCAAGACCCCCATAAGTAGGAATTCCGTGATTGAGCAGAAACACTCATCCAAGAATCTCTTATGATTACTTTTCTGTCTCCATTGACAGCAGAAGGCACAGATATAGAAAATTGGGGCCCTGGTCTCCAGATGACGTCAAAGGAAGACTCATGTCCAGCTTTTAAAAAATAATTGTACCTGAAATTAACACCAGAAGCAATCTGCCAAAGACATTAAGTTATAAGTATACAAGATTATGAAGTCGAGAAGAGTTAAGATCCTTATGATACTTATGTTTTGCATGTGGCTTAAAATGAATGGATAACCTTGACTTTGGCTTCCCATTCATTATCATTCCCAGTAGGATACATTGAAACCGCGCAGTCTGGCTCCCAGCTACCTAAAAGGGAAGGA